GCCTTAGCCGCTTGAGCCACAGGCTCCGAGCCAAGAGAAAATCTTACAACAAACTGAAACTGTATTGAATTTGGGGTGCACAGGCAGCAGCTCCTACCGGGTTCTCAACAGCAATGGGCCAGATAATGGCCAAGCTGTCCTCAAGCTCTGGCAGAAAGACTTATAGAACAGAAGTGGACATAAAGGTAAAAAAGAGAATCCATGTGGGGATACCTCAGCTACCACCCGCTTACTCAGAAGGGCGGGATGTGGGAAAGATGCTTTGCTGCACTTGCCTACAACTGCTATTTGGAGTATCACAATTATGACTATATGTCAAAATGTACTTTTCAGGGAGTGGAGAATGTTCAGTTTAACTATAGATCACTTCAGTTACTGTCATGTGATTTAATCAGCATTAAGTTTAGAGAGTATGTATTGTCATTTTAAATTTTACTTTTTAACTAACATTAAGCAACATTAATATAAAGTGCTGACAAACTTGATTAATGCTATTAGAAGATCTGCTTTATTAAACATATTTTAAATGGTTTGTAGTTAGCTATTAACTTTCATATTCAACAGCTTGAAGCACTACAAAGCCTTTTTCATGAACACAAACAAAAGCCACCATTGTTAAACACCAGGCCTTCAACCCATATCCTATAGATTGTCACAAACCCTAAGTTTATCCAGGGTTCTAATTAATGGTGCTAGTAGCCTCAAAATTCCTGTGATTTAGGTAAATTCCTAGTTAAGAACCTTAGGCCTTATGAAAAAACTAAGAACTCAATTCCTAAGTTATCTACGAAAACTTTTATATATACATTCAAAAAAACAAAGATAGCATTCTAAATAGCATATCAATAACATGTCTCTCACCTCAAAATAGTAAAAAAGAGCATTGTATGTAAAGAATTTCTCAAGGAAGGGTCCCTTTCCTTTGGAATTTCAACATGCAAATTCTTGATGCTGACAGTGCTTACATTTGCAGACAGTAAGTTTCCAAAGATGTGTTTTCACCTGCTTTGACCCTCCATTCAAAT